TTATTCTGTTTTAAGAAGTAACTGAGCTGTTGAGAAACTGCTTTTTCAATGATCTTACTTAAAAATGGGAGATTTGAAACCTCAGAAATTCATCTTCAGCTAAAACTGTTAAATGTGCCATTAATGAGGGATTAATGAAGTGCACGGTCGTTTGATTTGGTGTTACTGTCCTCACTGATGTGGAGACGCACTGAAACATGCTGCTGTTTGCACTAGAGGTGGACCGGTCGATCCAAATGTCAATAGTATCAACATTTGGATCGATATCAGTATTAGATCAATACTAATGCAAATATATCCATGCTTTGTTTCTACCCTTATAGTATAAATGTTAATTATATTTATTAATGTTATCATTGTTTTAAATGAAAAAATATGTCTCAAACATGTACTATGAAAAATGTATTCTTTATAGTTTATAGCACATTTAAACAACAGAAGCTCAGAACACATTTACATTCCAGCTGATTTTAATTAACTTTCAAGCTCACAGTGATTTCTCTAGTCAGGGTAAATTCATTCATATGCATTGACCAGTTAATGAGCATGGCTTTCCTCAACAGCTCGTCTTAGCTAATGATGTCAGTTACAGCTTACTAACACATTTAATTTACTAAAGTGCGGCGGGGCCTCTGTTTTTTTCTCGGGTTTACTGAAGAGGCTCTACAGCAGATGGGCAGCCCCCACTCTGAAGATCTGCCCCTGGTTTGATCCCAGATAGATTGGCTAACATGGAGGAATCAGAGCTTATGACCTGGACGTTTTGGAGATGTTTTAGCTTCATTTTTGGGGAGCTGTCAGATTGCTCATGTTTCTTACAGTCACTTGCAGAGATCAGCAGGCTACTCTCTGTGGTCCTTTCCTTATTCCTTTATAAGGATATGAAAAGTCAATTATCAAAGCTGACATGGTTTTTACATAAAAACATAACCCCTGTGTACCTGCATACATGTTAGAAAGTGGTTTCTAGAAAGTGACATTGTCCACTTAATTACACAATTAATTTCAAATTTTCTTGGATGGCTTATCTGAATTCAAGAATTCATCCAGGCTTAGTTCATTGATCCTGACATATTTTTGTTGGTTGGTTCTGGTTGAGGTCAACATGATCAGCTTTATCATTTACAATGATGAGCTATTCTGACAGCAGTAACAGCTCCTGTTGGCATAAAATAGCAAATGGGGACGTGTTACAGGTCAGTTTCTATTTTAGAAATCATTATCCACCATCAATCTTCTTCCACTTATCCAGTCAGAAGTCTCCTAGTTTGCCATTAGCTTTTTCATACCAAGTTTTGGTTCCAGAAACGGAGTCAGTGCATTTTCAATAACACCTATTACTTAACTTTATCTTAACATTACTGCCATAGCACTCGCTAGTTAAACTTCTCAAAAGCATTTGATAAAAGTAGAAAAGCTACTAAAATACTTTGAAACTCCTAATTTAGTTCACTAGCCAAAAATAAACATCTTATACCCAGTAAATGTTTCTTACAAATCTAACTGATTAACGTCATTTTGAGTCTTATGAGAAAGGAGACTCTGCTTTTGTTAGACTAGCCAGCAAAGCCGGGCGGTTCTTGGGTTCTTCCTGATCTTGTCTAATATTCGGGAGGTCGGCTGCTTCTGTTACTCTGTGATGGACGTGCAGGTAGCCGAGATGTGTTTTATTGTGGCTTCCAGACTTTAATTTAATTAAGCACATTTGTTTTTTGGGGCCTTTTTCTGGTTCCAGCCCTTAAGGTACAGTTAAGACTGAAACAAAAACAAAAGCCAGGGAGAGAGAGAGAGAGACGTGGCAAGGGGCAACAGGTCGGACTCGACCTGCCGTTCTCAGCCATAAAACACAGTGTCGCTCATCCCCACTGAGCTAAACCGGTGTCTTTAACGTACCTTTATGACAAAGACACAGGTATTCTCTCTCACACACTCACCACAAGAAGGTTATTGATTTGTGTATCTGTGCATTTGCAGTGTTTTTTGTTCCAGGTGCTGTATCTTTGTTTTTTTTACAGGTGCAGCAGCTTGCAGTGCATTGTGCTTTTCTATTTGTACTCTACCCTTTTATTATATTTTCTTGATTTTTCTCCCTTTCCTTTTTTCTCTCGTGCCTTAGACACACTATACAACATATAATGTAAAAACTGAAGTAACACAAAGAGAAATGAATAAATAAACAGATAAAAGAAACACATGAACAAGAGGAGCCAAGAGAGTGTTTGTAGACCTGACCTTGGAGAAGCAAAATGGGTTTGGCACCGCCGTTCAGGTCATTATTCTGATTGCAAAAGCTGCCAGGCAGGATGAGATAAAAAACAAACAAACAAAAAAACACTCCACTGAAAGATCTGTGTCTGACCCTTCATACTTTGACATGAAGGCCTGCCAATTTGCCATTGGAGCTAAAGCAGATTTTCGTTTATTATATAAAATGTTTCCAGACAAATCTTTAAAGACCTTTTGCCAGATCTGTGATCTTTGGGATGTATATCTTGTATTTTACAAGATATTTTATAATATTCATTTCCATATAATGTTCTGTGACTGATCTGATCTCTCCATATTCTCTCCATAAAGATTATTGATACATGACAGATTCATAAATTTGTATACTGCTAGACGGATACAGGCCCTTTTTGTCCTGTGATAAAATCCCACATTTTTTAAATTCCTCGTCATGTGCTGTGTGCAGGAAGCCAGGAAAAGGATCCAATATTCAGACTCCAGGACACAAAACGTAAACTTAAAAAACAGCTTTATTGCTGAACAAGGAAAAAGCTAACTAAACTAAAGACACAAATAAATTAGGCAGGTTTATGGACCGAACATACAGTGTAGGATGATGGTACAACGCAACAGTGACAGACAGAAACACGGGGCTTAAACACACTGAGGGATAACGAGGGAACTGCACACAGGAGAGAGTCACGGTTGATGGTAATCCAGTGTCCAGATCCCAGCCCATCGGGAAAATGCTCGATAACACCCAGTACAGCTCTGGCAGCCATTATAGAAGCTAAGTGACGTAGGGTGGTGTAATGTGTCTGCATTGCTTGACTTTGCTTAAACTGCACAGTATAGGCGATGTTGTTGTGCTCTGTAATACAGTAAAGATATGTTAGTGAGCTCAGTTTAGCTAGCTCTACTTCCATCCATTTATAAACGGAACATGGAGGCTTTGATTTTCCTGCCTCGATTTCTGCCCAGTCAATGCGCCGCCCCCCCCCCGCTTACACACGTAGAAAGTTCTAGATCAGCGAGAAAGCAAGCAAGGGCAGCTCTGTGGCAGCAGCACTTATAAGGCTTGTTTTTTGTTTTGTTTTTTACTGTACTCCAAGTGTCCTTGAGTCACATCACAAGAGTAATGGGTGTACAGCCAAAAGCAAGTTTATTTAATTAAACAGGTACCAGATTCACAGACACTTTTTGGAGGCAAACTGTTATGTTTGTGTTATATTTAGCTTCTGTTTCAGTGATGTTTTTTAATGATAAAGAATTTTAAAATGTCCCTTTTTTCATTTTATAGGAGAGCTCCTGTGGACTTCTGTAGTGATGTGCGATACCACTGATTTGCTTTCCGATCAGATACCAAGTAAAATTCAGGGTGGTAACGACGATACTGATCAGATACCGATACTCTGTACAAAAACGTAATTTTTCATTGTATTTCATAATACAATATATAATTGTATTATGTAATTGTAATAATAATATAATAATATAGCTTCATAATGATTACAGGACATCAGACTACTTGTTCTTATTGCTTAATAATGCAGAATTATCATATAGAAATAAAAAACCTGAAGTTGTGCGCTGTTTGAGTATGTTGCCTGCCTGCAGCACTAAAAGACTCCACGAGAGTCTCGCCCTAGCAGCACCTGTCCCTCTCCTCCTCTTCAGTTCGCCTTAACATAAGCTCATCATATTCTGTGATATCATTTACACTGTAAATCATATCGTGAGCAAAATCATTTTTCTTTAATTTCTTAAAAGCACATGTGTGTGTGTGTGTGTGTGTGTGTGTGTGTGTGTGTGTGTGTGTGTGTGTGCTCAGCTTTGCCTGAGAGCTCCTGCAGTGATCTCTCTCACCAAAACTAAAGGTTTTCAGTGCAAACACTTTATGTAAACTGAATCTGACTTGCATTGTAAATTAAAACCAAATAACGTCTTGTATTATTTTCAGTTTCTCCATTTTGGATGCAGCAGGAAGCTTCCTGATCATAAGTTCCTGCAGGTTCTCACTGTAACTGTGTAGGTTTCCATCCACAGTATAAAAAGATGCATGTCAGGTGTAATGCATCCATCCATTCGTTTCTGCTGATCCTTTTCAGGGTTGTTGGGCGTGCAGGAACCTATCCCAGCTGTCTTAAGGCGAGAGGCAGGGTACACCCTGGACAGGTCACCAGTCTGTTGCGGGGCTAACACACAGACAGAGACAACCAATCGCACTCACATTCAGGCCTATGGGCAATTTAGTGTTTCCAATTAACCTGTCCCCACTAACTGCATGTCTTTGGACGGAGGGAGGAAGCCGGAGTACCCGGGGAGAACCCACGCAAACACGGGGAGAACATGTAAGCGCCACACAGAAAGACCCTTTTGTAGGTTAAGTTAAATGTTTATTCTAAAATAATTGAATTACCATAAATTAATTAATCATTTTAATTCTAAGTTTTCCCTGCACGTGCGAGTTTGTGTGGTTGTCTCTCTCTTTCTCAGATAAACTGGCATCTCGTCCTGGATGTAGCTTTGAGTCATGACAGATGGGAGAGGCTGACTTCATGCAAAGCTGAGATGGTTGAGCGATAAATTTCTTTCTAAAGCTGCACTGAGTCACACACAGAGAAATCTTTTAGACATCTTAAGTCTCAAACATTTTAAATAAACATTTAAATCTGAAATATAAAAACCAAATAAAATTATTTTTAAGAAAATCTAATAAAATATATACATATATATATAATAAATTAAATACTTACTGTCAGTACAGCTCTGAAAACACAGACAGTAACACAGTTATTTATTCAAAACATACAAAAGCACATAAGAATAAAGGCACTGTTTGCACCACTTGTATGAAACATTTGATTGAATATCAAATATTTACACATTATGAACTTTATCAAATGAGAAGTAACAGACATGAAACATCAAATTATAAGAGCATAAACATCCAAATGTTGGCAACATGTTGGAGGTAAATGTGTTTCATATTTCTCACCTTTATATTTTCTCCTCCAGATAAAGACTGCAGAGAAGCAGACAGTCAGGAGGAGCAGGATGCCCATAATCCGGACAACAACACCAGCAGGGACGACTGAAGAACCTGAAACCAACACATTTACATTCTGTAGTTCATCTCACTGTTGGACCAACGTTCATTAAGACCACAACAGTCCTTTATCTATAAAACACCACAGGAACTAAACTACACAATGTTTTAATGTAGATTAGTGAATAACCAAACTGTATTACAGTTTGATGTTTAGCAGTTACACTGAGCCAGTCATCAACAACAGGTGAATGAACACAGTATCACAGCAGGTTTGATTCTTCCATGTTATAAACAGATCACATAAAACCAGAAAAAAAAAATCAGGGTCACTAAAACCACATTAAAATTAAAGTTTCTAGTTTTTACCTGTCTGACTTACTTTACTTGTCTGATCTTTATTTTCACCTGTGCTGTGTTAGTGGATCCTTCAGACCTGTTTGTGTTTTAGTTGTTGTTAGTGTTGTAGTCACAGACTGTTATTGGTCCTTGAAGGGTCTCTGTTTCTGTCCCTGCGTTAAGTTCACTCAGTGTTTCATCCATTTAGTTTTCTGTCAGCTGTGTCTCGTCACCCTCCTGTTTCCCACTCTCTGATTACCTCATGTGTTTATAAACACTCCCCTCTCCCTTCAGTCTTTGTTTTAGTGTCTGTTTGTTTTCCCTCGTGTGATTTCTCTGAGTGTATTTTAGATTTACCAGTTTGTTGCCTGTTTTAGATTTTTGTTGAAAGTTTTGAATCAGCAGTTTAACTTTGTACTAAAGCCCAAAAATGAAAGTTTTTTTGTTGTTTTTTTTCACTCCCACATCGTCCATTATTAAGATCAAGTACTGAGTGATTAGTCCTGTTGCTCCCTAATCTCTATCAAACACCTGGTTTGTTTTAAGCATGTGTGAAAAGGGCTTCTTCCAGTTTCCTCCTTTCACATGGGGCCAAATGGAAAATCCAAATAAGATCAAATAAAGGTGTATTTATAAAAGTTTTACTCGCTTCTTTTTCCAATCTTACCCTCATTGGTCCTGATCGCTGCTTTGTCCAGTTTGGTGACGATGTCCTCGTTCACACCAAAGAGCTGAAACACACAGATGTACCTGCTCCAGTCCTCATGTATGGCTGATGAAAGATCCAGATCAACACTCATCTGGAAGGTCCCATCATGGTTGGTGAGGATCTCTCCAGGATCCACACCTTCATGAAGCTCCGCTCCATCTTTCCTCCAAACCATCTCGGCTCTGTCAGGATAGAAACCTGTAGCGTGGCAGGTGACTGGAGAGGAGGAAGACTTCTGGAGGAGAGACACTGATGGAAGCTCTAGGGAATTTAAAAAAATAATAAAAAAAATAAAAAATCACAGTTCATACTGAGTTTATCATTTCCATTTGATGTATTTTGAATGTTTTAGACACACAAATTAATATAAATGCCACTTAAACAATAATTAAGAAAGTGGGAGAATTACAAGAAGTACACAACTGAGTGAAGTGAGTGTTGTAAAAAGCTGCAGCGATGGTGATTAGACAAGTCAAATAAACAGAAATTGGGAAAAATGAAAAGTGTAAATGTGATAAAGTGGTAATAAATGTATGAGAAGATCAGGATGTGGCCTGTTAATTAAAAGTATTACAATAAATCAGGTCATGTGATTTTACCTGTCCTCATCAGAGAGCTCCTCCCATAGTTCACGTACTTCTTCAGCCACTCAGGACAAAGCTTGGTGTGATAGTTCCTCAGATCGCCTGAAAGAGATCTGTCACTGTTCCACTCGTGTTTGGTGATTACAGCCTGCATTACTGGAGCGATCCATGTCTCTGTCCTCAGGTCAAATAATAGGAAATCTTCTCCATCATAGCCATACTGATGATAGCCGTTAACTTCAGCCGTTTCATCTTCCCATTCACAGCCGTACATCATCTGATTAATGTGAACACCTGAAACCAAGAGGGGCAGGAAGTAGTTGATATTTTCCCACAGATGAGGGAGTTAGGTTGAAGAGCTTCAATAAAAACTACATAAATAGACATAATCAGCTTTTTAAATTTGGCTGGTTAAGCTTCCATTAAGGGCGCTAACAAGCTAGCTTGTGTCTGTAATAGAGTTGGATGCCTCGAGACCACTTTTACGTGGTCTTGGTCTTGCTGTCTCTGTCTTGCTGTCTCAGATAGTGATTGTGTACCCATGACACACAAACCAACGTTCGATAATGTGTCGTGCACAAAAGCATCAGCCCTAAGAGCCGTGCTTAGAGAGTGCTTTGTAGTGAATCAGAAGAGTCGACTCCCATTGAGCGAGAGCCGGCTCCTCACTTAATTTCCTTTCGC